CTTTATTTATTGTAATTTCTAGCATGCAAATTCCCAGAAGTTTGTTAGGTCATGTTTTATTTTTTAAATGAAAAAATAAATGTACACTTAAAAATCTAGCACAGTAAAAAATTTGCAATTCAGAGTAAACCTCTTCCTACAGCCTCTTGTCTTCCTAGAGGTCATAAGTTTCTTGTGAATCAGAAAACTTGTTAACCAAAAAAAGTGACTGAGGCAAGTGTCTTTGATAAATCAGGTTTATTGAGCCAAAGTTTAAAGACATGCCAGGGAAAAAAATGCAAGTCACATGAGCATCTGTGACCTGAGCTTTCTAAAGAGGGTTTTGGAAACTCATTATTTACGGGAGAGAGTGAGGAGGGAAAAGGGAGAGGGGTTAGGCAGTGAGGCAAATGATTACCTTCTTGTGAGGCTCTGATTAATGCTCAGTAAATCTATGTTTCATATAAGATAAGGTAAACTGAAAAAAGGTAGTAAAGACTCAATTATCCATCTGTCTCAGGGTAGGCAGAAGAGTGGTTGATCTTGTCTCATCCTTATTCTGTACATGGGAAGATAACCTTGTTATCAGCATTGTCAGTGTGAGATTTAACAAAACTTGGTTTGAAGAGTTAAACTTAGGTTGCAGACCCAAGGTTACAATTGGCATGTGTTGGTTTTATAGCTCTCCACAATGAGAAGGGGAGGCCTTGAGGCTTCTGTTAATACTCCCCCTCCTACACGGGACATACTTTTGGCTACTCCTACTCAACCTCCAAGTTTCAGCTGGAATGTCACTTCCTCAAGGACTCCTTCCCTGGCATCCCACTTTCTACCCTTACCCCATTATACATTTTCATTGCATATTATACATCTTGTGTAACTGTTTTAGTATCTGTCTCACTTCACTCCAGTCCCAGACAGCAAAGACCATGCCTGTGTTTTCCATCTCCTAGTGCTTAAGGCATTGCCTGGCATACAGGAACTCAACAAATATTTAATGAGTGAATGTGAGATATAAGTCAAAGCCTCACTATCATATATATATAATTTTTATGTATTTTTTTGAGACAGTGTCTTGCTTTGTTGCCCAGGCTGGCGTGCAATAGTGCAATCTTGGCTCACTGCAGCCTTCACCCTCTGGGTTCAAGTGATTCTTCCACCTCAGCCTCCCAAGTAGCTGACAGGTGTGTGCCATCATGCCTGGCTCATTTATATATATATATATTTATATATATTTAGTAGAGATAGGGTTTCACCATGTTGGCCAGGCTGATCTGGAACTTCTGACTTAAAGTAATCTGCCTGCCTCGGCCTCTCAAAGTGCTGGGATTACAGGTGTGAGCCACCACACCACTCCTGTATAACAATTTTTTAAAAAATCTTAAGCTTGATCCAGACCTACCAGCCTCTCCAGTGTAATGATTACATGGTAGTCCCTGGGTAAGTCCAGAGTTCCCACTAACTTAAGCCCCTCTTTGTGTCAATTTCATAAAGAGTGGTCCTTGCAAATACAATGGCCAAATTGCCAAGAGGCATTTCAATCAACAATCAGGGTAAAAAGGTTTGCAACGTGAATTCTTTTGACATAACAAAATACCACTGACTGAATGGCTTAAACAACAGAAATACGTTTTTCACAGTTCTGGAGGCTGGAAGTTCATGACCAAGGTGCCAGCAGGGATGGTTTCCTCTGCTTGCAGATGGCTACCTTCTTGTTGTTCTTCACACTGTCTTTCCCCTGTGAGCACATGCACCTGGTGTTTCTGTGCCCTAATCTCCCCTTCTTACAAAGACACTAATCAGATTGGATTAGGACCCACTCTAATAGTCTCAATTTAATTTGGAACCTCTTTAAAGGCCCCATCTCCAAATAAGTCACATTCTGAGGTACTGGGTGTTAGGGATTTGACATATAAATTTGTTGGGGGGCACAGCTTAATCTATCAGAAAACCATAGATAGCTGCCCTCCCAACAAGGGCTGGGGTACAATGAGGGGCTGTGCCTTAGGGCAAGTCCCTGTTCTCAGGAAATTAGAGCCAAGAACTCTGGGTTTGAATGAATGGTACTAACAGTTATTAAGTACATCACCTAGGAGTGAACTTTGGACCAAGTTTCTACAGGTGATGCTGTGGAGATACGGATATTGGAAATTTTAAATATTATGTACCAATCATTTGAAATAAATGGTCCATTACTTCAGAGAATTAACTTGGAAAAACATGCTATCACTGTGTAAAATTAATAATTTTCAAAAAGAACAATAAAAAGTAATATTTATATTAGAAACATCCTATTAATTCGTCAGCAGAAGAAAATAGAAAATACCTGGTGCTTTACATCTTCATCATGACGAGTGTAAAGTACATTTGGATAGGGAGTCAGGCATCCCAGTTTTGGTCTGAGCACTGTTACTTCTTGATAACTCTGTGACTTCATATCATTAATTTAAGAATTTCCTCAGGTATTAAATAAAGAGGTCAGTGAACATGAGCTCTAAAGTCCTTTGAAGGTTTAATACTCTAGCAATTTCTTTGTTGGAATCAGTTTTCTATTTCACCTGCTACAGAAAACTCAACTGGCCTGTGGTACAATATACCTAGTATGGTTTGGCAATCTGGTAGCTAACCTATAACAGATAAAATTTTCAGAAATTTCTGAAAACATTTTAAAGAACAGTTCAACAGCGTTTCCTGTAAACTACTACTTTTCTTTAGTTTGACACACCTGAAGTGCTAATAACACCAAATTAATCTTTTAACACATTGCCCCAGGTTTCACTTCCTGTTAATTATCTTTGTGATTTTTTTAAAAATGAAGAACTATATTGTTTGCCCATATTAAATAACTTTTTTATAGCTATGAAATTCCTTGTCTTGTTGCTATTGTACAAATATAATCTGAAAAAATTTATGAAAGTATTTAATGAAGCTTTTTAGCATTTTTTTCAAAATAGGGATTTATTATAAAAACTATACAAACTTTTTATCATTCACAAATTATGAAAAATTTTAAACAATTTGTATCCTCCCTCCAATAGTGTGTTGTGTCTTTACAGTCTTCACTGGCAGTACATTCAGATGGTATAGAAACCAACTCACAAACATTCCATATAACTTTGTCCCTACAGTAAATAATTTAAAAAAACTTTTCATCAAGTTTCAGTGTTACTGAAGTTAGTTATAGACAGTAAGCATTACAGAATAAGCAGTAAATGGTCACCTGCATTGAATTTTTCAAAGCAAAAATTGTTTTATATTTTGTATGTTGTTTTATCCTGCCCCAAACACTTAAAGTAAAAGTTAAAGATTTTTCCAGTTACCTGAAACTTCGAAAATCTATTGTACTTTGAAAAAACTTTAAAAAGCAGCATCATTTAAACAGTGGTTAACTCACAAATGTGTATGCAACAGCGTTCACCAACCCTAATACTCAGGCCTGCAGAGGCACCAGCTCACAATAATTTAGTGCTCTGAAAGCTGGGGGGAAAGCCCCTGAGTAGTAAGTATGCAACCCAGGGTGTCGGGTGCTTTCTTGTGGTGAAACAAGGGTGTCAAAACTGAGGGGACTCTCCAAGGTCTTAATGAAAAGCAGCTCCTCTAAACGCCTGAATCCTTTTTGACTCCACCCTCATCACTTTAAGGATGAAGCCTTTCTGTACAAAGGCTTTGTACAGAAAAGAAATTATTAAGAGTTATATTTTACACTAATGCTAACACAGCTAACTGAGCAGAAAGAACTATGAAGTACAAATTTTTCTAAGGTTTTCTTATTAATGGCAATATAGACTTACTTATTTATTTATTTATTTATTTATTTATTTATTTATTTATTTTGAGACAGAGTCTCACTCTGTTGCCAAGGCTGGAGTGCAGTGGCATGATCTTGGCTCACTGCAACCTCTGCCTCCTGGGTTCAAGCAATTCTCCTGCCTCAGCCTCCTGAGTAGCTGGGATTACAGGCACCTGCATTACAATGCCCAGCTAATTTTTGTATTTTTAGTAGAGATGGGGTATAGGAGTATATATTCTACTATACTAGAATATAGTAGAGACCACTATGTTGGCCAGGCTGGTCTTGAACTCCTGACCCCAGGTGATCCATTCACCTCGACCTCCCAAAATGCTGCGATTATAGGCGTGAGCCACTGCACCCGGTAGGCAATATTGATTAAGGTGGGGGTTATTTCCTAAAAACAAACATAAGCCATATGTCATCTAATGCAGTTAAAGATCACCTGTTGACAGTATTTTAAAAGGCCTTGAAAAAAAGGGGGCGCCTTTATTTGGAATATAAATAAATCACCCTTGTAAAATTCTATTATCTATATAAATTGGCCTATTTTCAAATAATAATTTAGCTATTTCAATGACCATTTTAAGCCATAAAAGGCAAAAACAAAGGGAACCTCCTGAATTGTACACTTAAACATGAATAAGAAGGTAAATTTTATGTGTATTTTATCACGATTTAAAAATTTTTAAACAAAAGGGTAACTTTTGGATAATGTATGATACTAAGAAGGACATGCAACTAAGTAATCAGACTGCTTTTAGTAAGAAAATAAGTTGCTTTTGTTTTTTTCTTTCGCTTTTTGAGATAGGGTCTCTGTCACCCAAGCTGGAGTGCAGTGGCTTATTGTAGCCTCAATCTTCAGGGCTCAAGAGATCCTTCTATCTCAGTCTCCTTGGGAGCTGGGAGTAGGCACATGCCACCATGCCTGGCTAATTTTTTAATTTTTTTGTAGAGATGGGGTCTTGTCGCGTTGCCCATGTTGGTCTCAAACTCCTGGACTCAAGCGATACTCCCACCTTGGCTTCCCAGAATTGCGATTACAGGTGTGAGCCACCATGCCTGGCCTGCTTCTCTTTTTGTATTCTAAAATTCAAAGGCCTAAGTATCAAATCCCTAAATGTCCAAATACTGTCACAAATAAAGACTCAATAATAAACTCCCTCCAAAAGTTCAGACAAACTCAGGTGAGAGACTTGTTTCAAGGGGTTATAAAAAGAAACACCAGGGCTCTGCAGGAGAATCAGTTTTTAATTTTTTAAATGTATCTAATGGAATAAGTTGATCATAGATTTGTAAACCAAAAGGTAATTTCTCAAGTATTTGGAAATAAGGAAAAGCCTCCCTACCACCAACCTTTTGGCCATCTTTCTCATTCTCTTAGAATCATCCTAATCCCCTAGTATACCCTTACCATATATCAATAAGGGCACCATAATATTATGCAAAGCACAGATCTATATGCCTGATCTCTTATTAGACTTGCACCAGAGACTGCTGAATCACTCCAGGCATGAACTCCAAAGCTGAGGCACACTAACCAAACCCCTGGACATCTACAGAAGCAGGGGCGTTCTCTCTCCAGCTGGCTGCTCCTTCTGGAAGAGCTCTTTGATCTGAGTTAATCGGCCATAGAGCCTCTCTCTCAGTGGAGGAATGTGGTAGCTAGGGTCCAGAATGTTCGTAACTCGGCGCTCTCTCTCTTGCTTCCATAACTTGTATGGGTGGGGAGGGAAGAATGGTCGTCCTCTCTCTCTTCGAATCTGTAATGTAATTCCACTTACAGCCAGCATGCCCCATACTGCCAGGATAATAAAGTCTAAAAAACAGTAGAAAAAGTACAGTTTGAACTCTAGTATTTTAAAATCTAACATAATAACACAACCCTTCATGGACTAAATCTGTATCTTCCTTTCTAACAGACTTTCTGGTGAGTTAGTCCAAACACATATGTAGTTCCTCACTTACAAACCAAGGAATCAGTGGGGAAGCCACAGTCTTATTTTTGAAACTAGGATTTTTCTATTACAGGCATTTGAAAGTCCAGACAGGTTGTAAAAAAATCAGTTGTTTGGATCCTTGGCCTTCCAACATTATGTAACAAGTACCCACAGTTGGTTGTGTGTTTTTTCAGAGGGAGTTCAGGGAGGAAGGCAGTGATCTAGTTATACTTCACATATGTACGTCATGGAACATCAGATGCCACCATGCTCATTTCTTTCCCATTCCACTCCATATGGGGCCCTACTGCACTCACAGTGTAGGTATAGGAGCGCATGAAAAGATTCAACCAATTGTACTGTTTTTTGTTTTGTTTTGTTTTTTTGAGATAGAGTCTCGCTCTGTCGCCCAGGCTAGAGTACAGTGGCGCACTCTTGGCTCACTGCAAGCTCTGTCTCCCGGGTTCATACCATTCTCCTACCTCAGCCTCCCAAGTAGCTGGGACTACAGGCACCCACCACCACGCTTGGCTAATTTTTTGTATTTTTAGTGGAGATGGGGTTTCACCGTGTTAGCCAGGATGGTCTCGATCTCCTGACCTCGTGATCCACCCACCTCGGCCTCCCAAAGTGCTGGGATTACAGGCGTAAGCCACCGCGCCCGGCCAGTACTCAGCTTCTAGTAGAAGGCTCGGCAAAACACTGTCTGGTACTTAAAATTTGCAAGAGTTTTAAGGTTTTCGAGGATTTCGAGGTCTCTACCATCAAGCTCTTATCCAAAGGGAAAGCTCTGGATGGTAGAGGGAAAGATTTGCCCTAAAATAAAATCGCAACAATCACAATTGTGCTTATGCAATATATTTTCAATTCTAAGACATGCTTTTTCACTCTCCACACTTCAACATTTCTGAAGTCAATGTATCTTACAATCTGAACAATTCATGTGGCAGTCATTTTTTTCTTCAAAAAATTTATAGAAAATCTGTAATGGATAGAATCTTACAAGTGAGGGAAACTACATGCTTACTAATTAAAAACTCTTTCAACTAGCAAACTGCATGTTTCATTAAAGGAGGGAAACAAGGGAATAACTTAAAATTCAATCAGATTGTCATTCTCATCCCTCATTCCATCCCCACCCATAAGTGTCAAATGTCTTTACTGTCAGCATTTTTCTCCCCACTGAGAATGACCAGGTAAACCTAAATAATCTTGGAAATTTCTTAAGGAAATTCATTGAGTAGATTTTTATCTTCATCTTAAAATTTTAAATGCTTTGCTCCCACGATCCTAAGTTATCATCACGGAGGGTTCTCACAGCATTGTTATGCTGTGTTCCCTCCTTTTGTCCCAGTTGACTTTCTTTAAATTTAGTCTCCAAGTGCTCTGGTTAGCATAGGTGGGTCAAGACTCCTACTGTGCTGTCACACTGGTTTTTGGATTTAAGAGTCTTACCATTAGTTTGAAAAGGCACATTTGTGAAAGCTCTGTGGAAATCCTTGTTGAGCGCTCTCTTGAGTACATTCAAAGTGATGTAGGAAAGGCTTGTGGACAAGTAACTGCCAACGGCTAAAACCACCGAATAGGAGCCAATGACTCCACAGGTCAGTATGTTCAGCTGTGGAAGAGTGGAAGAGTTTAGGCATCATCCATGGTAGAACAAAAATAGTTTCTAACCCTCCACTGGCTTCAGTCACAGGAAATCACATCTGCTCCCTCAGGCATGAAAAGGGACCAGACCCACTCAGAGCTGAACGGAAGTTCCCCGGAAAGATAAACTGAAAACAACCTTCAACATCCATATGAGTTCTTAAAACACAGTTCAGCTTATCCAAATACTATGGAAAACATCTTCCCTGTGAAGGAACTTCAACAATAAAATCTAATTAGAGGAAGAATCACTCTTCTGAAGCCAGCTGAAACTAATGACCCATCGGGTTGGTGTACTAGAGTAAGCACTACCTTCTCTGCTCCCACTTAAAAGCATACTGACTGGGATGCTCCATTTGATGGGGGGAAAAAGCCAAACACCATGTGGTAATCATAAATAGAATTTCCTTTGCTTTCATAGTAACAAGGCTATTTAGAAGCAATCATCTGATACAGATAACACAGCCCTCCCCAGTAAACATGCAAAATGATGAAATAAGTGATCAGCTGAACACAGGATAACATAATGAATAAATCTAACTTTTGATGAAACACTTACTATTCTTAGGCAGCCCATGAAAACTACTGGAATGAGGATAGCTATGCAAGAGAAAGTGACCCAGAATACACCATCATCATGAAAAATCTTTAGGTTTCCTGAAAAAGCAAAAAGAAACTAAGAGTAAACAACAGCTTTACCAAGTTAGATTTAGTTTCTTGGAACATATGAACACACATATACATCAAAGGCTTAAAGTAACAACCAGGGAATATGTTGGCAACTAGAAATGAATTCTAATTTTCTTCATTTAACTGTCAATACAATCTTCTTTGAAGGATGTGTTCTAGAAAGTGGGTGGGGGGAATCAAGCAGGTCAATGCTCTGCACATTTATTAACAATCATTTAGAAGAGACTGGAATAGCCCAAGTTCTTCCATTCACTAGCTCTATGAACTTGAGCCTCAGTTTCCTAACCCTCAAAACGACATTGAATTATATCTCCAAGCTCTAAATCAACCGTTAGCTCTACATTTCTGACTTCATGATTTTGTACTGCAAAATAAAAAAATATAAATAAAAGGCATTCAAAGTTAAGAAGTTAAGCCATGAACCCAATGTAAACAGCAAATCCACTTAACAGATTTTTACCATCAAAGCATGTCCTGTCATGCCACTGCACACTGTGACGTATGATTTCCTCACGTATCAGGAAAGAGGAACCAACCAACCATCTGCTCTTCCTAAACCCTTCTCCTGCTGCTGGACTCTAAAATGCTGCACAACTTAGGCTGACCCAGAACAAATATATAAGAACTCCTCTTTATAAATTAAGTTTAAAAAGCAAGAATAGCCTGACTGCTGTTTAATACTGACACTGGCACCACCGTTCAGTCCATCTGTAAATGGCCCCATGCCTCAAGACCTACATATCCAGGTCAGAGTGGAAGAGTGGGAGTCCCTCGGCTACAGGATTGGACCTTGGGACTCCATATTCTCTGAAGCCAACAGCAACATGCCATTGAGGTGAACTTACAGATTATATTCTCTAGTTTAACTATAAATTCACCTTTACAAAATATATACATGGCTTTTTTTTAAAAGGCTTTCAAGAAATCTAGGTATTAAAAACAGTTATGATGTATGCATATGAAGAACGGACCCTTTCTGAGAATAAGCTCATTGCTTCCCACATAAGGTGAAAACTAACAATCTAATCAGATTGTAGCGGTCAGCCAAATATTTTTCAAATGCTTATGCTTAAAAATATGCATAGGCCTCCTGGCCGGGCATGGTGGCTCACACCTGTAATCCCAATACTTTGGGAGGCTGAGGCGAGCAGATCACTTGAGGTCAGGAGTTTGAGACCAGCCTCGCCAATATGGAGAAACCCCATTTCTACTAAAAATATAAAAATTAGCTGGACGTGGTAGTGCGTACCTGTAGTCCCAGCTACTCGGGAGGCTGAGGCAGGAAAATCACTTGAACTCGGGAGGTGGAGGGTGCAGTGAACCAAGACTGCGCCACTGCACTCTACCCAGAGAGACAGAGTGAGACTTCGTCTCACGGAAAAAAAAAAAAAATATATATATATATATATATATACACATATATATATATATATATTTCGTGTGTGTGTATGTAGGTCACGTGCAGTGGCTCAAGCCTGTAATACCAACACTTTGGGAGACCAAGGTGGGAGGGCTGCCTGAGCCCAGTTTCAGACCACCGTAGGTAACAGTGAAACTCTGTCTCTACTAAAAATAAAAAATTAGCAGGTATGGCAGCACACACCTGTAGTCCTAGCTACTTGGGAGGCTGAGGTAAGAGGATGGCTTGAGCCTTGGAGTTTGAGGTTGCAGTGAGCTATGATAGTGTCACTGCAGTCCAGCATGGGTGACATAAAGAGATCTTGTCTCTAAAAAATAAAAATATGGGTTTGCACCCACTAGCAGTGAGGAGATGATCACTCTGTCCTTGAGCTATGAGATAGTTCATAAATAAACATATATAAAGGGAATACGCTAAAATAATTTTTAACAATAGGAATAGTATGTCAAAAAGTTTAGAGACAACTGCTCTAGACTTTTATAAAGATGAAAATTAAGAGACCTCTTTACTTCTGTTTTCTCATTCCTCACATCTATCCTATCAGATCGTTTCACAGATGATGGAACAAAGTTTCAATACCTTGTCCAAGGTTATAAGCTAGAAAGAGAACTAGTGACAGAGCCAGAACGCATATGGAGGGTTTTTTCCTGACTGTATAATTTATGCTCATTCAACTCATGAAAAGTACATTAAATTAATAGAAATTCTAACCTATCATCTCTCCATCCTCTAAGCGTTAACGAAAGCGGGGAAGCCCATTAAGTAATAGTTGGTTTTTGTGGTCTTTTTGTTTTGTTTTGAGACAGAGTCTTGTTCAGTCGCCCAGGCCGGAGTGCAGTGGCACCATGATAGCTCACTGCAGCCTCAACCTCTCAGGTTCAAGCATCCTCTAGCCTCAGCCTCCCAGGGTAGCTGAGCCCACGGGCGTGCACTACAACACCTGGCTATTTTTTTTTTTTCCAGTAGAGATGGGGACTCACTATGTTGCCCAGGCTGGTCTCAAACTCGAGCTCAAGTAATCCTCCCACTTGGTCTCCCAAAGTGCTGGGATTATAGGCATGAGCCACCATGCCCAGTCATTAGGTAGTATTTTATTTAGCACATCTTGGGTAGAGCCTTGAATCTGTATTTTCCAAAACATCCCCATGTGAATCTGTCATTTAGCTGAGCCTACACAACACTGCTTTTCATCAGACTATCCAGATAAAAGGCTACCTGTAGCAGGGCCAGAAGGAATATGCTTGCCTCTAGGTTTGCTAAAGTCAGAACAAAGGGCTTTAGACAGTAAACACAGGTTGTCAATTCTCTGTAGTCTTAGAAAAAAAAAATCTTCAGGGAGATAAGGGACACATGACTTGTACTCCATTATATCCTGCATTCTCTATAGAGTTGACAGTCTCATGAAATGGCTATTTTTATATCTAAAGTCCCATCAACTTTATTCTAGTGTTTTAAGAACACTGTCACAGAAAGGAAACAGCCAAATAGAATACTTTTGAGTACAGATACTTTGTTTTTGACAACAATCAGGAAATGTAAATTATTAAACAATGGCAAAGAAAGTTAACTTATAAGTTAACCAGATTTTAAAAACTGATAGCAATTGAATTACTTTTTAAAAAAACACCAAAAAAACCCCAGAACCATCCCTGTGCTACTGCCCCAGGGTGATTAAGTACCTCAGGGACACCTGGGGTTTGGCAAAGGGTGGGAGTGGAAGTTGAGGGTACAAGACCAGAAACAAAGTACCAGGTTCCCCAACTCAGCCGCCATCAGAGCAGTGCCCCTTTACCTCCATTATTTCTAATAAACACACACCCCTTAACACAACAAACAGATACAAAGCTACCTCTAAAGACCTTCTATATTTCATCTAATGTGCCTTTGAGGAAGCAGGGACTTTTACTGGTACGGGTGCTGTCTGACAGTGTCACACCATCAATGCATCTGCAGAACTCCACAGAAGCAGCATTGACATGCAATGCCACTCCAGGATGCAAATCCAATTAGGCAGTATTCAAACAGTGACTCAAACACACAAAACATCAGTTACTTATTGCTTACCCAGTGGAGTAAAGAAAGTCACTGATGAGATGAGGAACCCCAGCACTAGTCCAACACAGAGCATGCAGATCGAGAGGATTCCAAATCGCCACCACACAGCTACCAAGAACATCCCACCGACGCTTCCAGCGACAGCTGTCAGAATCAGACGCACTGCACAGAGAGAGGATGAACTGCTGGATCACCGGCAGTACTTCCAACTGCGTGCCTTAGACATACAATACCGTTACCAACGCCAGCTTCAGCTTTCTGTAGGTCAGGCACCGAGGGCTCTTCAGTGGCGCCACGAAGCCAGGATTGAGCAACCCTCTCTAGGGAGGGGTCTGGGCTGAGACAAGGAAATTAGCCAGGGAGCTAAACCGCACAGGACCAGTGACAGGCTTGGCTTGTCAATAAATTGGGATTGCGAAGGAAAAGGTGACAAGCATTCTGTCAAATGTAATGGGGCAGGGGGGTGTCTGTTTTCAGGTAAAGAAAACCTCAACATTTTGCTTGCTGTACATCTCCTATCTTCAACATATCACATAACCAGAACACAGGTCTATAATCAACATGGATCCTCCTTTCCCTAAGTACCAAGGAATTCACCATACAGATTAAAAACCCAGAAGGTCTGAATGAGTAGTTCAGAAAAGGTGTTCAGAGCCTAGGTGGACCATTATTTTATACGCGTAACAGGCTGTCACACACAATGCAGGCCAAACTGTAGAAGGAAAGGTAAAGTAAAACACAGCACCTGCCTTCTTGAATACCCAGTTAAACTATACAATTTTCACTTACCATCATACTTGATAGGTGTCAGTCTTGTAATCAGTATGTAAAAGAAGAATCCCATGATGATAAAGCCTATGAAGAATAATTCTAAGTGACAAACCACCAGGAAAGGAAAAAAGCAAAACAACAAAAGCTATGGTTAGGCACTCTTTTTACAGTGCAATTTAAATAGTTAATCTACAAATACATGCTTAATCTACAAATACATGCTTAAGCTCCTGGAATTTACATGTTACAGCATTCAGAGGAAAAAAAACATCTGAAAGGCAGAAGAAATTCAGCAGTCATGGGAGTAGTTATTATTAAACAGATACAATATTGAAGTACTAACTACAGGATACACTTTCTTGTATATAGGTCAGTTTCCATTGTTAAATGGTTATTTGTTCATTTCATAGCTCATTTTAATATATTTACTTTTTCTGCTTAAAACAAGAATAGCACTTTGTCACGTGTGTCTGGTATGAAATTACACATTTTAATAGTTTTGTAAGTAAAAACAAAACGTAAAAGGTAAAAGAAACCCAAACTGTTCCAAAGCAAAATATAACTTTTTTATCTTCTTTTAATTCATCCTATCCTGTTTAGAATGATCAATCATTACCTTCATCCATTAAAACAGCTGGTAATGCAAGCATACAGATAACTTTGTTCCCACAAATAAGCCTAATCCTGATCATGGAGGCCACAGCTCTACCTATTTTCTTAAATTCTTCACAGTTGTTCTTGGTAATACTTGTACTGTATCTCAGTTTCAATAAATATAAAATGATACATATCAACATATCAAAAAAACCCAGAGTGGGGCATGGTGGCTTGTGCCTGTAGTCTCAGCTACTTGGGAGGCTGAGGTGGGAGGATCACTTGAGGCTAGGAATTTGAGGCTGTAGTGCACTATGATTGTACCTGTGAACAGCCACTACACTGCACACCAGCCTAGGAGACACGGTGAGACTCCATCTCTTCAAAAAGAAAAAAAACAGCTAGTGATAACTTTGAGACCACAGCTTAGCAACTAAGTTCTTTGTTACAGAATCAATCTACATGTTGAGACATTATATATTCTTCACAATACTCTCTTCCCAATTAATAAAAAAAAGTGTCATAACAGCAGGAAAGGAGTTGCTATTTCAAACAATTTGAGACAAGTTTAAAGAGCTTTATTAGATCAGGATTACAGTTGAGCTACCTTGATTCTCAGTTATACACCTTGTTGATTAAATAAGGATTTTTTAGTAATCAAAAACATCACTTATATAAAAGGCAGCCCAAATAATTCAAACCAATTCAGTGAGCATGATTTACATCCCAGTTCTTCAATGTGTTTCACGGATGTAGATGCTGGCGTTCCCTTTGGCATCTGAATCTCTCAGGTCTGAGCAGACATTTCAAACTCACTATACACTGCAGCCCCATAGCTTGATTCGTGCGACACCAAGTCAGTTGCCATCACCACAATCCACACATATTTTTACAAAGACAACCAACTTTTTTTTTTTTTTGAGACAGAATCTCACTGTCATCCAGGCTGGAGTGCAGTGGCACCATCTTGGTTCACTGCAACCTCCATCTCCCAGGCTTAAGCAATCCTCCCACCTCAGCCTCCCCATGTAGCAGGGACTACAGGCACACACCATCAAGCCTGGCTATTTTTTTGTATTTTTGGGAGAGACAGGGTCTCACCGAGTTACCCAGGTTGGTCTCAAACTCCTGAGCTCAAGTAATCTGCCTGCCTCAGCCTCCCAAAGTGCTGGGATTACAGGTGTGAACCACCACACCCAGCCCCAACTTTTCTCTTTTTGGTAGAGAAGGCATCTCACTATGTTGCCTAGACTGGTCTCAAACTCCTGGCCCCACATAGTCCTCTCACCTCAGTTTCCCAAAGTGCTGGGATTACAGGCATGAGCCACTAAGCCTGACCCTGACAACCAATATCTAATCTTGGTTATCTTTAGTCAACTAACAGATCTAGCAGCTGATAAAATTCACTGCATAATTGTATTCCCCTGTTAATGAGAAGGTTATACTCCACTGTAGGGAGAAGAGAAAAAAATAAAAATGCAGTACAACTCAGTAGACTCATGACTACAGACCCCAGCTACAAATCTATGAAGATAATAGAGATAAATAAGTGCTTACTCTCCCTACAAGTCATTCCCCGGCAACATTAAAGAGAAAAGACCGCAAAATGGAAACAGCAACTACATTGGACATAATACCTGTTTTCCAGAATCTGTGTCCAAAGAAACAAATGAAGAAACCAAGCAGGGCGAAAAGAGTGAAGAACACTTTGGAAGACACTCTTCCTACAAAATAATGAAAATTTAGTGGATAATACATCCAATTTGATACTTTGTATTAATATTTATAGAATGCCTTCATCAAAAAAGCTAAGTGAACTGACATAATTTATCCCATACATGTATATTACAAATTTATCTTTAAAATACCCTTGCCACCCCTAATGAATGAACCTATGTAGACAATCAATATCAACAACTGCTGCTATAACAAAAAGAGAATCCAGACAATATATGCTTGCTGAAAGAGGTATGGAACACTTCCTATGACATATTCCTGGGTAGAGTGGAGAGAAAGAGAGAGAGAGTGTTCCTAGAACAAATAATCCTGTTTCTTCAAAAAATAAACTGCATGGACAAAAGGTGGCGGGGAGTGGGGAGGAGGCGGTGGGGGAGATGGAGGGAAAATACAGGTTAAAAGAGATTTAAAAGATACATCAACTGAATACTATGTATAGATCTCATCTGAAACTCGATTCAAACAAACTGTGGAAAACAATTGAGATGACTCCAGAAGCAAACTCTGGCTGTTAATCTGATGCTATTAATGAAATATTTTCAATATTTTAAAATGAAAATTATGTTAATGACACTGTGGTTCTATTTTTTAAGTGCTTATCTTTAAGGCATACATACTGAAATATTTGTGAGTAACATGATGACCAGGGATTTGCTTTAAAATTATCAAGTGATAAAGGAGGGTGATGAGGTGGAGAGGCAGAGAAGCAGGTAGAGCACAGCTGAAACAAGATAATGGCCATAAATCAAAATTGTTAAGGCTGGATAATTGGTATATGGAGGTTCGCTGAAGTTTTTCACAATAAAAAATTTAAACCAAAACGCACAATTTAAAAACATGTATTACATGTGTAAGTCACACATACACAAACTACTACAGTCTTCTCAATTATATATATTGCCTTGGAGAAAAATGTTGTATTACAACCAATAATGAAGCATGGTATCATTTAGTTTACTGAAGAGAAAAATATGCTCACTAAATTCATCACCCACCATCATGACTCCATGACTCCTCAGAGATAAATGCAAGAAAATAATCCCTGAATGAAAAACCAAAACATCTATACAATCTCATGCTAAAATATAACAAGGTTGCTACAAATCAAAATACATAAAATGCCTAACAGTGTTCAGAATGGAGAAACCATGAAGACATACAGTAAAATAAGAAACACAAGACAGAAGAGCAGAATTCACAGGGGATAGTATATGCCTACATATCAGCTTTTCTGAGAATAAGGAGCCCATAAGAAAGATTAAACGATGGCTGCACGCAGTGGCTCACACCTGTAATCCCAGCACTTTGGGAGGCCGAGGTGGGCGATCACTTGAGGTCAGGAGACCAGCCTGGCCAACATGGTGAGATCCCCCCCATCTCTACTAAAAATACAAAAATTAGCCAGGCCTGGTAACACATGCCTGTAGTCCCAGCTATTCCGGAGGCCGAGGCAGGAGAATTGCTTGAACCCGGGAAGCAGAGGTTGCAGTGAGCCAAGATCAGGCCATTGCACTCCAGCCCGGGTGTCGCAGCCAGACTCCATCTCAAAAAACAAAAAACAAACAAACAAAAAAACCCCAGAAACATTAAACGAAAGATAAAAACACCACATTCTGTTTATTTCAGACCTGTGGTTGACTATCGTTCTAGAATTTAAGTTTTACACCAAAACCATTAAATTCGCTGGGATGATTTTCTCAAACGAAAATCCCGTGGAACTCTTCAGCAAGTATAATCACCAAGACAGCAAGGTCTTCCAACCCAATAAAAACTAAGACACAGTTAGATATTCTTCCATAACATTACAGGGGAACTAAATCCCTTATCACAATACCAGGAAGGAAGGAGAGAAACAAGTCTACAAGTAAAGTGAGAGGGTATGGAAGGTTTCATCAAAAGCAGAATCTACGATAAAACAAGACATAAAACAGGCAGTCACTTTGGGGAACGAAAGGAGTGAATAGACTAGGACAGGAGCAAGTCGAAGGTTAAAGTGTCTTTAACTATGACAGTATTGCTAAGGGTTATGAACCACAGGGCAAGGTTTTAGTTAGGAGGTAATATGGATATAGCCTTCCTATTCCAAGCTCAGGAAAAGCACCCAAGTACTCATCAATTGTGAAAATGAGAGTAAAAATAGAACCAACACCACTAGGAAGGTTCAACTTTGGGCGGGAAGAACAACTGGCTCAGAGCTCTCTGTCTCCTAAGCCTAAGAGAGAGAGACAGGCCTGGGGGGCTTTCTATTTAGAAGCGGCTTTTGTATGGAGGGTTCAAGGGAAAGAAATGGGGGAACCGAGACATACTTCAGTTCATGGGTTAAAAATACAGGGCCAGGCGCAGTGGCTCACACCTGTAATCCCAGCACTTTGGGAGGCTGAGGCGGGTGAATCACTTGAGTCCAGGAGTTCAAGACCAGCCTGGCCAACATGGTAAACTCCTGTCTCAACTAAAAATACAAAAATTAGCCAGGCGAGGTGGCATACACCTGTAGTCCCAGGACTTTGGGAGGCCAAGGGCAGATCACCTGAGGTCAGGAGTTCAAGACCAACCTGGCCAATATGGTTGGTCAGGTCTCTACTAAAAATGCGAAAAATCAGCAGGGCATGGTGGTGCACGCCTATAATCCCAGATACTCTGGAGGCTGAGGCACGAGAATTATTTGAACCTAGGAGGCGGTAGTTGCAGTGAGCCGAGATCATGCCACTGTACTCCAGCCTGGGTGACAAGAGTGAGACTCTCTCAAAAAAAAAAAAAATATATATATATATACACACACACACACACACATAAACTTACATCTGCCTAGGTCTCTTGCATTGTATCCCTCAAGGATCTTGAGTGGAAGATTGTCTAGAGTGGAAGACTGAGTGGTGACAAAGAGTCTTTGCTTGGCTAAATTTCAGTCAGTCTCCTGAACCCCCTCCTAGGCCCATCTGAGCACATCTTTGTAAAATCCAGCTTCAGCAAGAACTCTGATAAGCCAACTTAGCAAGAATCCCCTATGCTTGATATCAAATCACCCTCGATATCTAATCGAGTTCTTCACCCTCCACCATCCAACCCCCAGGTGATGTCTGACCACCGTGGTCTGTCTTCAGTAAGAATCCCCTTAGGTCAGTGCAGACAGAATGCCCCCTTGCCCCTCATGTTTCCCCTTAGAAATTTTCCATCCACTGACTCCCACCCTGCTCCGTGGCTACAAATTCCCACTAGCCCATGTTGTACTCAGGAGTTGAGCCCAATCTTTCTTCCCCACTGCAAAATTCCATCACGGTGGTCCCTGTGCCTATTGTAATACTACCCCCTACCTTGAATAAAATCTTCCTCACTGTGCTTTAACTAGTGTCACTGATTTTTTTTTTCTTTAACAGTGGGGTATGGCTCTAGCAGAGGGAGAGAACCATAATCTCTGGCTTGAACACAACTAATAGACTTTCTTCTTCAGAGCAAAGCTCCTTGAAAGAGCTACTTGAACTTTCTCCAATTTCTGTGCTCCTAGCTCCCATTTGTTCTTGAACATGCTCCTGTCAGGCTCCCACCCCACCTCTCCACTGCAACAGCTCTCACTGGTACCAATGGCCTCCATGTTGCTAAATCCAAGGGTCATTTTCAGCCTCTTTCTTAGCTGACCTATCAGCAGCATTCGCAAAGTTGATCGCTCTCTCTTCCGTGCAATACCATCTCCCCTTGGCTTCAACAAACATCACTTTCCTTTTACCAATCTGGCTCAGCCCATTGGTAGGATCTTCAATTTCCTGAGCTCTAAACACTGGAGTACCCAGGGCTCAGTCCTCAGACCCCTCCCTTTTCTCTAAGTCACACTGAGTGTGCCTGCCTCTCTTGCCTCCCCTTCCATCTCTGCCACCCCTTTATAGATAACACCATCTAGCATGAGGCTTTAAATGCCATATATTCAGTCTGAAGACTTCCAAGATGCTCTCCAGCTAAGACTTTCCTCTGAATTCCAGGCTTTTATATATATAATCAACCATCAGTTAAACATCTGCACATAAACGTTCACTAGGGTTCTCAAACTGAACTTGTCCAAAACTGAACTCTCAATGTATCCTCCCAACCTTCTCCTCCAACAGTCCTTCCCACCTCAGTGAATGGTTGCGCTCTCTCTCCAGTTGCTCAGGCCAAAACCTACAAAGTCCTTTACACCTCTTTCTCTCAAACCCCTCATCCAATCCATCAGTACACTGTACTCCAAACATATCCAGCCACTCATGAGCCAAATCTGGGACAATTTGAACGTGAAAATAAATGACAGTAAAGGATTTCATCCAGAGAATAAAATAGGAATCTACAGGTCCAGGCTTAAAATAAACACATGGATAAATAAATGGGAGGGGAGGGAAAACTCTTCCTTAGAGTAGAATGGCAACAAATAAACATAGAAGGAGTGATACATTAGAAAAACACCATTTGGCAACCACCTAGTAATAAATGTTTCAGGCAAAGATCACTGGATGCCAAAACTAGGAAGTGAGAGTTTGAGAATGGGATATTTACTGACACTCGAAGTATTTTCCCTAAAGACACTTTAAAAAAGGAACAGTTGGCCAGGCACAGTGGCTCTCGCCTGTAATCCCAGCACTTTGGGAGGCC